ATTAATATTTTCCAAAGCAACAATAAACTCATCCTTTGATAGCTTTCCAATTGAAAAATCTACCTACAGATCCACCAGCTTACTTGGCAGCCCCAACATTATAAAGCAGCACAATATAGTTTAAAACAGAAGCCCTCAAGTCTAAGTGCAGTGTTGACAGCAGGAAACTGCTGTTCAGAGATCGAAACAATAATTTAGCACCATTTACACATGGCTAAGGTGAACGCTAGGTAGCTGGCATTGTGTGTTGGCTAACAATTAAACACAGTCTGAAGGGAAATTTGAATGTGCTCATGTTACAAAATATGTTGGAACATAATTAATATTGCACTTTGACATTTGTACATTGCTCATGAAGTCACTTGTTTGCTGCCTGAATTTCACTATTAACACTGCCAAATTGCTTTCAAGGTTTTCAGTTATAAAGTTACTGAGATGATAGACTCTGCAGCTAGGGGAATGTAATGTCACCACAGATCTAAACAGGATCTAGCACCCTGCTCTAAATTCCAAATAGTGTCATTTCTTTCGCCCTCAACTGAGTGTTAGTTCTCCTACACTGGACTAATGCCCAAAAGGAAATAAAATTGAGTCTTCAAAGATTCAGTTGCAAACTAACATGCAACCATCTATCAGTCTTGGGTTTGAAGTCACATATCCCAGCAGAGATCAGTACGCAATCCACTGCACCACTCCCTCATGTTAAATTAGCATATATTCCTTATAAACACTGCACAAATGTCATTAAATGTTGCTAGATATTATTCCAAGAAAGAATGCTCATGCTGTCGTAATAATAAGAAAACGGAACTGTAGCAATCCTGCATAATTAACTGATATTTGTAATGGTCAAAAAGGAGAATATGTTGGCATTGGTACAGCACATTTACCACCAAAATTATTGTGAAAGTCGATCTCATGCAAGGTTGATCCTATGACGTTTGGCCCGAGGAAGTGTCATTTTTGGTATACTCATGTAAAAGTCAATCCTCATTTTTCAGTGATCACACCATCAATAAATTACTGGAAATTACACTGGTTCATTCATTTAAAGGCACATTTAGGAATCTTTAGATCTGTCCTTCACTAATTCAAGGTGCAATCTCCAAACCAATTGGCAAGACTAATATGCACCGTGCGGTTTATCACGATGCTATCAAGAAAGATTAACAAGTATGCAGCTGAATTTAAACTCGAGATAAAAAAGAGGCAATATGGGTTAATGGGCATTGGCAAAATGGTTACATCACCCAGGGAAACATCTGACTGTGCACTCTGAGAGAAAGGTGATATGTCAGAAGTCAAGACCAGTGCTGATGATTCGGGAAAAGAAAAAAAAAATCAGAAAAAAGAAATTAACAACATCTACCACCTGGGCACAACAATAAAACCATTAAATTTTATCATTTTGTCAGCTACCTTGGGAGATGAATGCACATTGACTTTGAAATGTGAACACTGATGAATTTTGACTTGCAAAACAAACAACATCTTTCCCAAGACTCGTGAAGAAAAATCGTCCTTGTAAGATGACTGACCATGAGAACAGCTGGTTCAAAATGATTTCTTCTTGCATGGTAAAAGGCACAAAATTAAGACTAATGGTGATATTCAAGAGTAAACTTTTGTCAAAGAGATATTTCAAAAAAGATTTCATTGCCCATGTTCACAAGAAAGGCCAGTATGGATAAAAGTGGTTGTAAGAAATGATCAAAGGGTGGAATTTCAGACCAGCTGGACAATGCAAAGAAAAATATTTTCTCATCTTGGACATGTCCGATCTTGTCCACAAATTGGTCTGTGCTGCAAGATCAACCAACAACATTGTGGGAGCGAAAGTCGTCTTTAGTGTTTCTCAGCCCTTGGAATGAAAGATCCTAAGGGCAGAACTTGAAAGATGTGGAATGACTGGAAGTTGGAAAGTGAGAAAACATCGACTGAGGGTGGAAATATGCGAGCGACCTCACTGGCAGCATTGTGCCAACGGGCTGTAGATATATGGAATATACTCGATTCCAATTTAATCAGAAATCATTTCTAAAATGTAGGGTTTTGAATGTACTTGACAGTAGTGAGGAAAATTACTTGTGAAATGATGATGCCAAAGTTACTGGTACTCCCAATGATGACGATAGAGTCATAGGTTCATAGAATTGTACAGCACGGACACAGACCCTTCAGTTCAACTCGTCCATGCTGACCAGATAGCCTAAATTAATCTAGTCCCATGTGCCAGCATTTGGCCCATATCCCTCTAAACTCTTCCTATTTTTATACTCATGCAGCCGCCTTTTAAATGTTGTAATTGTACCAGCCTCTACCACTTCCTTTGGCAGCTCGTTCCATACACGCACCACCCTCTGCGTGAAAAAGTTGTCCCTTAGGTTCCTTTTAATTCTTTCTCCTCTCATCTTAAACCTACGCCCTCTAGTTTTGGACTCCCCTACCCTGGGGAAAAAACCTTGACTATTCACCCTATCCATGCCCCTCATGATTTTATAAACCGCTATAAGGTCACCCCTCAGCCTTTGACACTCCAGGGGAAATAACCCCAGCCTATTCAGCCTCTCCCGATAGCACAAACCCTCCAATCCTGGCAACATTCTTGTAAATCTTTTCCGAACTCCTTCAAGTTTTGCAACATTCTTCCTATAGCAGGGAGACCAGAATTGCATACAGTATTGCAAAAGCGGCCTAACCAATGTCCTGTACAGCCACAATATGACCTCCCAATTCCTATACTCAATGCACTAACCAATAAAGGCAAGCATACCAAATACCTTCTTCATTATCCTATCTATCTGTGACTCCACTTTCAAGGAATTACGAACTTGCACTCCAAGGTCCCTTTGTTCAGCAACACTCCCCAGGACCTTACCATTAAGTGTATATGTCCTGCCCTGATTTGCCTATCCAAAATGCAACACCTCACATTTATCTTACTTAAACTCCATCTGCCACTCCTCGGCCCATCTGATCAAGATCCCGTTGTGCTCTGAGGTAAGATTCTTCGCTGTCCAGTGCACCTCCAATTTTGGTGTATTCTGCAAACTTACTCACCATATCTCCTTTGTTCACATCCAAATCATTTACATAAATGTCGAAAAGCTGTGTACCCAGCTGTAATTCATCTGGCTAAGTGTTTCTTTACTAGATGAATATATTGGCGATCTAACTGAATAATCACATACACATTATCCCTATCCTCTGCCTCCAGTCTGAAAAGCAACCATGCGCCACCACCCTCTGTCTTCCACCTTCGAGCTAGTTCTGTATCCAAGCGGCTAGTTCTGCCTGTATTCCATGTGATCTAACCTTGCCAACCAGTCTACCATGAGGAACCTTGTCGAATGCCTTACTGAAGTCCATACAGATCACATCACTACTCTGTCCTCAACAATCCTCTTTATGATGAAGATGATGATGAAGAAGATCCATAGGCTGACGCATACAGAAGGTATTGGAATGGATTGTTCAGGTGGCAATCAGAGTGATTTTGAATGTTTCCATGAACTGTTTTGGTTGATTTGTTACATGTTGACAGGCTTGGTTCATGCGTTAATAGTTTGTAATGTTACAGAATTGTATAATTTTAAATGTGTTGATTTTTTACTTTATTCCGTTGTGATGGTCATTCTTGAGCTCAAATCAAGCGCACGTCAATCCTTCAAAAACATTACAGTTAAATATCCGACCCATGACCTTCGAAAAAAATGGTCTCAAGAATCTGATTTGTACATGGATATATATTATAATGTTCCACTTATACTGTATTCAGTGTTGATTTAACAAGAAATCTGCAGAGAATAGGGATAATGTGTATGTGATTATTCAGTTAGATCACCAATATATTCATCTAGTAAAGAAACACTTAGCCAGATGAATTACATTTTTAAAAAGAAGCAAAGAACACGAGAATCATGCTACAAGCAACTGGCACAGTCGCATCTTCTGTCATTCATAATCATTTTAACCCAAACCTTCCATTCAACAAGAAACATTTTCCTGGAACTCATGACAAGGTACGACAGTACAAAATCAGGACAGCAGACTGCTTGCTCTATTTTCCACCACACCTGAATTGATGCAAGAAAGTAAAAGTAATGGGAATTGACCTTCTCCCAAGATGTGATCTAGGGAGGAGGCAGAGGAGGAAAGTGGGTGGACATTGACACTTGCTCTAATTCAGCCTGTCCTTCTTGTGCTGATAACCTTGCTGTGCTCCTGCATTTAGATGACCAGTTTTGATAAATTGTAATGCATAACTGGCTGCCTTGATTCAATGACTGATGTGATTTAGTCAGGTGTAATCCATCACAAGCCTTGTCACTAGGCTTGCTGGACTGGTTAAATTAGAATATATCTGCACTGATCGGAATTAATCCTTGAAGTACGTTTTTAAATTATATCAATTTTTGCATCTTATTTACAAAAAGAGTTTGCAATTACAGCATTGAGGTGCTTCAGAGCAGGATAAATTTGTGGAACAGCTTGTGAGCGATGGAACAAATGCTCAACACAGGCTGAATCAGAAACGATGAGCTATCAGACTGTAAACAGATAGTCCTCTTCCTTGGCCATCATTGGCAAAGAGTGGCTACGTTGACAATTCTTGGCTCAACACCTAAATGAATATAGATGTTCACAGGAATTAATGGCTAATATAATTTTTGAGTGATAAAGCAATAAGAATTCAAAATATTAATGATTTATATTGAGGGAAATCTTCTACCAGTCCCTATCTGCATCCCATAGCCTTACACAAAAATGCATTGCGCCAAGTGTGATTATGCAATATTGTCCTGTTGCTAATTGCATTAGGCCACCTCTAAACATAGAAATTTGTGTTGCAAACCCTGTTTCCATGGCGACTGTCTCCCGTTAAAACACTGATAGCTCAAAACTGAGTCTGGAGGATTGGTCTGCAGAATTGGTAATGTTCGAAACACTTCAATTAAAGATGAGCACTTGGTTTCAGTATCCTCACTGTCAGTACTTACAAGTGCTGGATTTAATAGCACCGACACTCGTGGCAGGCATCATGGGTGCTGACATAGAAAATACAGACAAGCAGTCATCATCCTGTGAGCATCCAGCTTGAATGGCACGCAGATAGCTATGACTTCGCATTCGGAAACAGCCAGGCAGGTCGAGAGCCTCCACAGCTTGAGATTCCATTTCTCCAAAGACTGACTCACACACCACTTCGAACTGTCTGTTCTGATCAGCCTCGCCAATCTGCAGTAAAGCATACACATTCCTTATTAGTCAAGACAGTTTTTTTCTCATGCTGGATTATCTCATTAAACATTTAAAAATATTGACATCAAATGCAGAGTACATGCAAGTTGCAACATGGTCTTACTGTTTCACATTATCTTTATAAAATGCTTTTATTCTCCCATTCTGCATTCCCTCTCTTTTCAGGTTAGAACTCCCAGCAGTAGTTTTTTTCCAAACCATACTTAAGTACATTTTAAGGGCAGTAGGTGGCAGAGTGGATTACACACTGACATTTAATTTCTATAATATGGATTCAAATTTAAGGCCAATCGATGGAATGAAACAGTCCACTGTCTCTTAGTTCTATGAGTTCTGTGAAACCTAGCAATCTCCATCCAGTCTTAAGCAATTCAGTACAAATTGACATTTAACTTAGAAATCTTGTCTTGGAGCCCAGAGGAAGAATTGGGAAGGTGAGAAAGTGTCACTCTGGTGTTACAGATGCAGTCCTTTGAGACCTGCACCATATCTGCGAGTTCTTGCTAAAAGTGCTCAAAGTACATCACAGGCACATCAACATCATAAGGTGAAAAGACAGGTGAACACTTTTTTTGGGAGTGACCTGAAATGCTGATAGATCTGTTGTCAATTCCCAGCATTTTCAATCTTTTTCATGTCAGCCTGTATTGTTTCTTTTTTTCATCTGTGAAATGCTTAATGCTGACACTAGGCACTCAAAATACAAAACAAATTCCTGCCTGGAATTTCTATAGTGGATCACTGGTGAATCACTGGCAAAATCTCTGCAGAAAAATGTTGATGTCACTGGGGTTTCTATCAATCTCCTGTTGAAGCTACCTAGATGCACAAAATTCAGCAAACATAGTAAACAAAGTACTTCAAAATATAGTTTCATTTTTAATTAACATTTCTTAATTTTAAAATATCTAAATTTGGTCTCTGGTTTTTTCTCATAGTGCTGGTAAGTAGGAAATTTGGCTGGAATTTGTGCAAGATGACATTGAGCTTGGAACTGATGGAAGATCTTGTGTTCAAAAATTGTAAACAGGAACATGTTATGACTTGATTGTATTAGGACAGAGATCAACCAAGAGTGAAAGACAGATTTCTTCCTAACACTGGACACCCACTAAGTTGTCATCACATTGAGAGATTCAGTTAATTTGTTGCATGTTCTGAACCAGTTGCTCCAGTTTTATCTGTTTAATGAAATGTTGACTTTGCATAGCTCTTACTATCAAAGAATTTTAATGTCAAAACTTGGACCATGACCATGGTGAAATAGTACAGCTGTAATGTAATCCCCATTACTCATCAAATGATAATCAACTTACAAAAGTGATAGTATGTTAAGGATATAGATCACAGGGTAGAGGCCAATTCTCAGGATGTGGATAAATGAAATATTATTTTATAGGGTCAATCATCTCAGAAACAGGTTCCCTAAATAATGAAAATCCATTCATCCAGACAGATGGACTGCAATGGTTCAAGGAGGTGCCATATTACCAAAGAAAATTTGAATGAGCAACAATTGCTGGCTTTACCAGGGACACTCACATACCATGAACGTTTAACAAAATAAAAGGTGGGTCGACTATTGTTGAGTTGTCATGATTTCCAGCTTTGTTTGGGCTCCACTTAGTACAGTGAATTACAATATTAGTTGATTGAGAATTCAGAAAATGGGGAGATAATTAAGTTGTAAAGTTTCTATAGTAGTTATAACATTTCTAATTGTTAACTGAGATTCTCCAGGAGAGGGGGAAGGTAGACTGGTAATGCAGAGGCGCTGATTAATGCTTTGGGTGCATGGGCTCAAAACCCATTGCGGCAGCTTGTGGGATTTAGATTTAATCAGTTTATATGAATCAAATAATCGATAAAAGTCTGTAATTAAAAGCTAATCCCAGTAATAATGACCACGAAACTATCATCAATTATTTTAAGAACCCATCTGGTTCCCTGATGTCCCTTAGAGAAACAAATCCGCTGCCTTTACCTGGTCTATTTTACATGTCATTCCTTAGCCGTGGCAATGTGGTTGACTCATAATTGCTCACTGAAAGGGTCCAGCAGGTCATTCAGTTCAAGGACAATTAGGGATGGGGCTGGGACTAGTCAGTATTGGCTCTATCCCATCAAATAACAAATAAAACAAAATCCAGATTTAGTAGCTGGTGTTGCAGACCTTTATTGAGTCATAAAGTCATATGGCATGGAAACGCTTTGATGCAACCAGTCCACACTGAACGTAATCCCAAACTAAACTAGTCCCACACGCCTGCTCCTGGCCCATATCCTTTCAAACCTTTCCCTTTTTTTCAGTCCACAAATAAGCCTTGGTTCCAGTGTAATCACAGCAGACTAGGTAAGTTGATGACTGAAATATAAACAGCATGTTGAATGTATTAACAAGGTGTCGAGCTGGATGAACACAGCAGGCCAAGCAGCATCAGAGGAGCAGGAAAGCTGACGTTTTGTGTCTAGACCCTTCTTCAGAAGCGGGGGAGGGGAAGGGGATTCTGAAATAAATAGGGAGAGAGGGGGAGGCGGATAGAAGATGGATAAAAGAGAAGATAGGTGGAGAGGAGACAGACAGGTCAAAGAGGTGGGGGTGGAGCCAGTAAAGGTGAGTGTAGGTGGGGAGTTAGGGAGGGGATAGGTCAGTCCAGGGAGGACGGACAGGTCAAGGGGACGGGATGAGGCTGGTAGGTAGGAGATGGGGATGGGGCTTGAGGGGGGAGGAGGGGACAGGTGGGAGGAAGGA